TCTCCCTTTATTTATTTATCAGCACAAATAAAAAACACAAATATAACAAAGGCATATATATATGTTCGATAGAGATTCTACAGGATGGTCAAAAAGAACAGGATGGTGGAAAGGGCTTGGATCACACAGCCATCAGTTTAACCATTTGACTCTTTTGCGAATATGCCTGGAGTGTGATGCCCTCCTCCCTCAGTGTGTGTGTGTGTCTGTGTGTGTGTCTGTGTGTTATATAATGTAGGATGTAGTCTGGAGTCCCAGGAGCTGAGCTCAGAGGACAGAGAGTAAGCAGAGTTTGGAATGTCTAATAGGCAGGAAGTGGGCAAAGATGGAACCTTCCTAGCAATTCAGAGAGTATATCTATAGATATGCAGATTGCAGTTTTAGTCTGGCAAGATTCTGTCTGTAGACAGAACAACAATAAATAGCAACAGCAATAGAATTTAGAATTATGTACCGCTCCATAGTGCTTTGCAGCACACTCTCAGTGATTTACAATGTCAGCATATTGACCCCAACAATCTGGGTCCTCATTTTGCCAACCTTAAAAGGACGGAAGGCTGAATCAACCTCGAGCCAACCAGGATCAAACTCCAGACTGTGGGCAGAGTTAGCCTGCAATACTGCATACCATTGTGGCACCAAGGTTTTATATGCCACCAGAATAACGATACTCCTCAAAAGCAACTCCATGTGTCATCCTTTGTGTCAGCCTCACATTGTGTTTGTGTAGTAGTGCACAGGGAAGCACAGGGCAGATTGCATGTACGCTATTCTGGGTCTTCTAAACATGAGGGAGGGGGGCTTACAATGGACCTATTCAGTCATTCGATTTGATGCCATTGGGCATCAAATCACAATTCTCAGTTCAAGAGGCTGCTTGACTGTATCTCCTCCAAAGAAGCAACCCTTGGCCTTCTTTGGTCCAGATTTAAACTTAGTCCTTGTTTTCCTCCTCCATCCCAGACTGGGTCTCATTCTGGTGATTTTCTTGCAGATGGACAGTGAGCATGGCCTTCCAATGGGTTCATTCTGATGGGTGGGAAAGAATAAACTAATGAAAAGGTCCATGAGGTAAGGAAATGGGACTTACATGGCAGAACGTTGCTATAGCGATTCTTAGCTTGATTTTCTTGCTGCTGGGCTACACTCTGGAGCTGATCTGTTCCTATGTCCTGCAGTTGCTATTATGTAGGCAAGGAAAGGAGAAATATTGACTCAGTAAAGCAGAGCACAGAGGACTTCCAAAATAAGGCAAAGCAAAAACAATAGGGAAAATAAGCTGTCGAGCAAGAGTGTTATTGTATTGGAAATTGTCTTCCTTTAAATAACAGAATGACAGAGTTGGGAGGGACCTTGGGGGGGTCTTCTAATTCAACCCCCTTGCTCAGGCAGGAGGCCCTATATCATTTTTGACAAATGATTGTCCAATCCTTTCTTAAAAGCCTCCAGTGTTGAAGCATTCATAACTTCTGGAGGCAAGTTGTTCCACTGGTTAATTGTTCTTACGGTCAGGAAGTGACTCCTTAATTCTAGTTTTCTTCTTTCTTTGTTCAGTTTCCATCCATGGCTTCTGGTCTTGTCTTCAGGTGCTTTGAAAAATAGGTTGACCCCCTCTTCTTTGTGACAGTCTCTGAGATATTGGAACACTGCTATCATGTCACCCCTAATTCCTCTTTTCACTAGACTAGACATACCCAGTTCCTGCAAATGTTCTTGATTTGTTTTAGCCTCAAGCCTTCTAAACACTTTTGTTGCTCTTTTCTGCACTCTTTTCAGAGTGCAGACATCTTTTTGATATTGTGGTAACCAAAATTAGATGCAGTACTGTGTGGTCTTACAAGGCATTATAAAGCAGTATCCCGTGATCTTGATTCTATCCCTGCCCTTCACTCCCCATTTTCAACTTTTTTCCGATGTGTCTGTTCATAATAAGTCCCACAAAGTCTATTGAGACTAAATACTAGCAGGATGAGGATAGACATCCTCCTGACCAATTGCTTTGCAGTTGTGGTAGGTTAAAAATCCCATCATCCTAAACCTAAACGCCTTGAGATTGATAAGCACACATCAATTGTTAAAGTTGCAGAGATTTATTAAAAATTGGAGAGGTCCAAAGCTATTTTATTTTAAATTCACCCAAAACAGTCATTCCTTTGCATCCTAGATCAAACTAATTAGAGATAGTCCTCAATTTACAGCAGCTCATTTAGTGACTACTCAACAGCACTGAAAAATGTGACTTACGACAATTTTCCATACTTACAACCTTTCCAGCATCCCCATGGCCACGTGATCAAAATTCAGACTCTTGGCAACTGGCATGCATTTATGATGGGTGTTGTGTCCCAGGGTCATGTGATCATCTTTTGCGACCTTTTGACAAGCAAAATCAGTGGAGGACCCAGATTCACTCAGCAACCAGGTTGCTAACTTATTGACTGCAGTGATTCACTTAACAACTGTGGCAGGAGAAGTCATAAAATGGGGCAAAACACACTTAACAAATGTCTCACTTAACAACAGAATTTTTGGACTCAATGGGGGGTCATACATCTACCCGTTTCTTCTCTGTGCTTGTTGTCCACTGAAGTCAGTGATCCCATACATGAGAATTGGTGGAGAAACACAAAATACTGAAAATTGATTTCCTTGAATGAAATTCTGAACCATGAGTGGGACAATTGTTTCCCTTCCTCACCCCAACCCATACTCCACCTGAAAAAAAGGACTTGGGGATCTTAAAATAAGGGAAGCCAGATTGATAATTAACATCTGGGATCCATCATTCATACCAAGGAAAGGTTTGCCTGGTGCCAGACAAATGATGCATTTCAGAGGATATGGGAGGAAAGTTATACAAGAATTCAACACACTACAGAGGACCACTGAGCTATGATGCTGTTGCCAAATCTTCCCCATGGCAGCCACAAGATGAGTGGGCTTAAACTGCCAGAACCNAGATGCAGCCACAACATTTGGATTCTGCCACAATTAAAACTCAGCCCTGCCTCCCTCAAAAGGTATCTGAAACAAAGAGCCGTTCTCACCCGTCCGTTCTCAACACAATTTGTGAGCATGACTATGGTGGTGATGCGCTGTTCCCATATCATGCGCCAGAAGTCATGGAGTGTGGTAGGCGTCGGACCCTGGGCTGCAATGAACTCCTTTTCCTTCTTGTATCCCTTGGGAGGAGAGTGGTATTTATACCAATTTATACGTACATACTGTATACACAAAAACATTTGTTCGCTTTTAAAACCATTTTCACATTTCTAAAGCTGTTGCACGTTATGATCAACGTTGCCTTGGTCAAAACAAAGCCCTGAGAATCGGGAGAAGTGAACAAAACAATTGTTTCAGAAATACAGAGCCTTGTGGTCCTGCACTTGGGCTGAAATCACATTACTTCCCATTAAGTCATTAGGAGTACATAGGCTTCCAGACTAATAGATCCCAAAGAGTAGAACTCAATTTAGAGATGACCTAAAAGCAAGCACTTCAATACGTGGTGCTCATTTACGACTACTACTCTGCAACGTGACGGGCAAAGCCAAAGCAGATTCCCAAAATGGCCTTTGTTAAGTGAAGATGAAAGGTTTGGAGGGGGGGGGGGAATAGAACCCAAATTACATTAGGCATCAAGGCCAAACATATATTGCATCGAATGGATATAATACATCCAGTTAGCAGTATCAGTGATGGAAGATGGGGAGAGGCAACTATTTTTCAGGTGGGGGTCATATTTGGGTTTTTGGCTGTGGGGTCGAAATCCAGAAAATAGGTGTATTAAAAATAACTGGATCCAGGACACAATTGAGTTGTCATTAGCACTGTATGATCAAATGAAGTGAAGTTGCCAAAGCGTGCAGCAGCTGCCAAAAAAGCCAACACAGTTCTAGGCTGCATAAACAGAGGGANCCTAATTCTAGGGAGTGCTTGCCTTCACCATTGCTTGGCTTCAAACAAGGTCATATGGTGCTACTCTTCTAAAAATCTTTAAAAAATTATTCTTACCGAGGTAAGCTCATGTCTGTATTCTGCTGCTCCAAGACATCTGTCCTTCTGAAAGCAAGGCAGGAAAATTGGAAGTAACACTTGGGCAGCATCTGTTAGTACTCCCATCCTTATCAGTACAAGGAATGTCGGATAGGAGACTGCTGAATTGAAGTCAACAATGCAAGACCTATTTCCAGGAACTCCAGAAGTCAGTTGTCCATCATCATGATCTGAGCACTACTCAAATTCCAAGATACCCAACTGATATTTATAACAATAGGCAGTTAATTCATGGATAGGTTATATTCAGGCAACCTTTCCCTAATCTAGAGCTCTGGAAATATGTTGGATCAATTCCCATAATATTCAATCAGTCCTTGCTGTAGACCAGGGGTGTCAAACACAAGGCCCATGGGCTAGATCTGGTCCGCAATGTGTTCAGATCCATCCCACGGGGCCATCCTGGAAAATGTAAGGAGGCCGGCCCGCATCACTTCAGCACGGTCTACCCAATGCAAAGAGGAAACATCAGGCCAGTGTGGCTTCAGCCTGGTCTACCCAGTATGAAGACGGAACATGTCACCAGTTTGGGGAGTGGCATCAAGCTGGCCAGGCCCACCCAGTCAGCCATGCCCACCCAGTTGCCCCAAGCCCGATCAACCACAGCCCTGATGCGGGCCTTAATAAAATTGAGTTTGGCACCCCAGCTGTAGACAAATGTCTAGTGCAAAGGTTGCTAAGAATGGGGTCCTTGATGCTCTCTGAGCTTGGTTGCTTTCTTACAGATGTTTCATTACCCAGCTAGTTACTATCATCAGTACCAGCAGTGCTAGCTAGCTCAGGAAGTTACCTAGCTGAACACTGAAATGCCTGCAGAGCACCAAAGAGTCTTCAGAGAGCACCCAGGACCCTAGAAGAGTTCAACCTTGAGCTAAAAATATTCCCATCTATTGGTGCTCATAATCTCAAACATGACGGCTTGGCTGAGGGACAAAGGAGAAACGGAACATTACCTTAGCTGGAACTTATGGTATATGTGGGCGACAAGGAGAACAGCAGGGACTTAAAATGGGGAAAGTTAAAAGTGAACATGGGTATTGTAATAGATCCCTGAATTTTGTAATGAGAAGATGTGGCTTAGAGACCTAACAATGAGGAAGGAAAGAAAAAAGCTGGGCTGTGAATGACTGTCACCGCAGGGGGGGGGGTTGTATGTTTAAAATTGTATTTGTATTTGTATGTTTTACTCTTTAAAAATGTATAACTAATAAAGATTACTTTAAAAAAAATTTTTTTTCAAAAAAATAATAATCTCAAACATGCTTACCTGAGTCTCCTGAAACCGAAGAACAGGAAGCAAAAGATGACCAAGAAAAACAGCACCGCAAGAAGGGATCCAAGGAGAGCCACTGAACACAGAAAGAAAACATAAGATCTTTGGACAAACAACCGGGCCCCAAAATGTATGAAACAATTGGTACTCTCCAAATGGAATGGGCTTCTTCAGAAACCATTACTTAAATTGCTTGTGATGCCACTGCATGATTAACACATAATTGACACTAGGATGGTCTTAGATCTCACCTGTAGTATCGATGGAGCACTCCACAGGGTCTGAGACTACGTATTGGTTGTACCAAAATGTTTTTATTTTAATTTGGTAGACTTTGGCAGGCTGAAGTCCTTGAATCACCACGGGTTCACTGCAATTTGACTCATTTCTCCAGGCTCGGTCTGACACAAGGACCACAATTTTACTAACAGCGCTGCTTGGACAGGTCCAGGATAAATTCAGACTCCAGCTATGTTGCAAAGGGACGCATTTCAAATCACTTACTTGTTCTGGCTCTGTACAAGCGAGGAGGGAAAGAAGGTTAGAGAAACGTCTTCTCACAACTTCACCAGTTCATTCTACCAACTTTATCCAACCCGGAGTGTCTAGAGGGCTGCTCCCATCAGAGAAAATGAAGCAGCCACCTTGAGAAAGTTGCAAAAAAAGGAGCGAAGCTCCCACTAGGTTCCCTTTTGATTAGAGCAATGTTTCCCAACCTTGGTGACTTTAAGTCCTGTGGACTTCAACTCCCAGCATAGCTGGCTGGGGGATTCTGGGAGTTGAAGTCCACAGAACTTAAAGTGGCCAAGGTTGAGAAACACTGGATTAGAGCAACATTTGGGCTGTGAAACTCTATTTGATTATTAAGTGGCAGCTAATGTGTGTCTGCTGCCAACTGGTGGGCTTCTGGAGTTTCCAAGGAAGTTCTGACAGCCATCCTGTTGATCAATCATGTCAATCATGTCTTCTTCAGCTGCTCCTGGGTGCTCATTTGCCTTAAGCACCTCTGCCTTTTTCCTACTACATGCAAAGACCTAACTCTCTGGAGAAGGCTCTAATGTTGGGAAAGGTAAAGATTCCCCTCGTACATATGTGCTAGTTGTTCCCGACTCTAGGGGGCGGTGCTCATCTCTGTTTCAAAGCCGAAGAGCCAGTGCTATCCAAAGACGTCTCTGTGGTCATGTGGCTGGCATGATTAAACCCCCAAGGTACATGCAACGCTGTTACCTTCCCACCAAAGGTGGTCCCTATTTTTCTACTTGCATTTTTTACATGCTTTCGAACTGCTAGGTTGGCAGAAGCTGGGACAAGNTGATTGTTTCCTGATTGCTTATTTGTACCCTATGACTATCATTAAGTACCTTATGATTCTTGACAAATGTATATTGTCTTTTTATGGACACTGAGAACATATGCACCAAAGACAAATTCCTTGTGTCCAATCACACTTGGCCAATAAAAAATTCTATTCTATTCTTTTCTATTCTAAAAAAGAAATCCTGGAATGTCCAAAGAAGCCTCTTTAAGTTTCTGAGGTCTTAAAAAAAAAGCTATTATGCCAGAATTTTTAACAACCGTCAAAAATGGAAAACAACTCTTTTCCAAATATCATTCTTGTAGGGCATTCTTTAACAAGATTTATTGAGATGAATAACATGAGTTTATTAAAAAAAATCCAACAATTGGAATTGCTGATAATGGGGATATTTGCAATGGGCTGCTTATATCACAAACACTTCAGCCTTTATCAGTTTGGAAACTCTTATACACAGCAAGAACAGAATTGCTAACAAATGGAACAAAACTGGTGACATATTAATATAAAAAGCTCAATATGATATGTTTGAGTTATAGAGCCCTCATTTTTAACAAACATATTTCAAGGTATCATGAGGAAAGGGATCGATTGGATTTTAACAAACTGATGTTTACTTGTTCATTTCCTCAAATCCAATTGAACCAACTGGAAATTCAAGCTTTGCAGAAGTAAAATTGAAAACCCCAATAGTTTCTAAGAACAGTGGAGTGTGGTGGTTGCAAGTTAATTTAAGAAGTATCAACAGCTCAGGTGCTAACACTTGGTTTGCCTACTCTTTCTGAATAACTGATGTTTGCACTGTTGGGAACAATATATTTATAGATATTTCACAAATGCGAAGAGAAACAAGAAATGGCTAGGTGGCGATTTGCAAACTGCTCCTCCCACAAAGGAAAGCAGATTGCAAGTCTCATCAAGGAATGTTTCCCATAAACAGGTGGTACTCGATCTACGACCACAAGGGAGCCTAACATCTTTGTTGCTAAGTGAGACATTTGTTAAGAGAGTTTTGCCCCACTTTTCTTGCCACATTTGTGAATCACTACAGCTGTTAACTTAGTAACATGGTTGTTAAGTGAAACTGGCTTCCCAGATTGATTGACTTTGTTCATCAGAAGTCATAAATATGAATCAGTTGCCAAGCGTCTGAATTTTGGCCACGTGTGCAAGAGCTGACTGCAGTGGTCACCAGTGTAAAAGAACGGTCATAAGATGCTGTTTCTCAGTGCCGTTATAACATTGGACGGTCCCTAAGCGTACTGTTGTAAGTCAAGAGGACAATCTGAATAAATCCTATATTAGAAATCATACTGTTCTGGCTCATCTCCTCTTGCCCCTCCCCCCTCCCTTGGCATATCTCAGGACTTTCCCAAAACACAGTCATTCTTTTTTCGGGAACTCTAGGAATTGCAGACTCTATCCCCCTGGGGAATGTCAGGTTGATAGTACTCCAGGCAGCATTTTCGTGCCGTGGTCTTGAGGGAGAACATAGAAATCTAAATCTATTATTCAAAGCCCCAAAGGGGAAGTTTAGATCTTGTGGAGATTCTCAGTCATCCAGTTCACAGTTGTCTCAATTGTGCTTTTTTTTTCTTCAAAAGGCAACTGGAGTTGTTCTTTATCTCCTTTGAGGAGGAAGAAGGTGGCAACCTTTGCAGCAGTTCCAAAAAGATTTCACAACCAATTGCACCCTTGGGGGTCCTTGGGGGTCTCTGAGCTTGCTTGTTTTCTTGCAGACGTTTCATTACCCAAACTAGGTAACATCATCAGTGCTAGTCAACTGCACCAGGGATGGTATTCACTTAGCTTCCCTACCAGTTCGCAAATGTGAGCTCACTTCGCTCTCATATGCCCACCTCTGTGCATGCACTCAGCCTTCTGCGCATGCGCTTTTGGCTTTAAAAAGGGGCCAAATGGGATGCCATAGAGCCGGGGTGGGTGGGCATGGCCACTTGCAATTTCCACTACTAGTTCGGATGAACTGGTCCCAACTGGTAGAATACCACTTCTGAATGGCACATTGTTTCAGATGATCCTGAGAGGAAAAATAAACCCCTGGAGGGGCCTCAACAGCTCTCAAGAGAAAGGATCAGTTGACTACAAAGAAATCCTTCCCTTCCCTCTCCCCATCCTCTCAGAACCTATCCTCCACTCCCCCCACCGTCTAGTCCAGTGGTTCCCAGGCCCCACAGGGGGACAATTTGATTTTTAATGGGGGCAATTTGAACCTTGCTTGAACCAAGTTAATGGACTTTTAGGCTTCGTCCGCTTGAGTAAGTTTTTGAGTAAAATAAGAATTATATGTCATGGGGGGCATCAGGATTTTAGAGATGCTTAGGTGGGGCATAGCCAAAAAAAAGATTGGGAACCACAGGCCTACTCTCAACAGTCTGTGCCTATCCTTCCATTCCCCCAGCACCAGAACTGATGAAGTTTCTTGGATGAGAAGTAAAATGTTCTCTTTTTCTTCCTCAGAGAGAATAACAGAACAACGGAGTTGGAAGGGACCTTGGAGGTCTTCTAGTCCAACTCAAGCAGGAAACCCTATACCATTTCAGACAAATGGTTGTCCAATCTCTTCTTAAAAACGTCCATTGTTGGAGCACCCACAACTTATGTCATTCTACTGTTTAATTGTTCTGTCAGGAAATTCCTCATTAGTTCTAGGTTGCTTCTCTCCTTGATTAGTTACCACCCATTGTTTCTTGTCCTGCCTTCAAGTGCTTTGGAGAATAGGTTGAACCCCCACCCCCTGTTCTTTGTGGCAGCCCCTGAGATATTGGAACAGTGCAAAAACAGCAAGAATAACAGTCCAGATCCTTTTAAAGAGGGAAAAAAGCACCTTTGAAGCCACTTTAGAGGTTCTTCTATGGGACATCCCGGTGAATATTTGAAGAACATTATCAGAGCTCCTATTCCCATGTATCTGATTCCTAGGCCCCTGAAGTGTGGGACCTGGAACTTGACACCATAGGCAAAGTGGAGTCTAACCAATGTAGACCACACTGGAACATACAATCTCCTTGTAGATACTTGGCACATTCAAGCAGAATAATACGATGACTTGAAATGGAAAAATAGAGGGAGTCTCCCTTGGGCAACATTTTACACTGAAGGGAGTAACTGAACTATCATTGTGACATGACATTTTATTTTTCTTCCCTTCTGATAGAATATGCAAAGTCTTAGGGCAAGAACTAAAATACAGTTTGTTTGTTTTTTTTAAAAGAGAAAATGGCAGAGGAAAAAGCTCTAATGGTAAATATCACTGATTCAATGTCAGTGCACTTTATTTTTCTGATGTTTCACAATAACACAGGAGTGAGCAACAGGAATTGAATCAATTTTTTTTATATTGCATCCGTTTATAAGCATTAGGAAACATGGACAGCAGAGTGATAGCAGAGTTTGTGGTGAAAGTCGGTTGGATGGTTTCTCCAGAAATGTTTGATCAAAAGGAATGTCTGCTCCATTGAAACTCCTTTAGACATTCACCCATATTCAAAGAGAAAGCTCAGTGGAGCAAAATCTTTGTTTCCCCAGAATGCTTTGTCCTGGAGCAAACCAACAGCCCCATGAGCCTCTGACTGTCAATGCTGGATTTTGGGCACTGTAGGCAGAGTGGTTTCTAAGCCCTGCCTAGAGATACAGGGATTTGGGGGATGGATTCTTCTCTATACCAGTCATGTGTTTCTCTACTGAACTATGAACTCTGCCTCCAACTTCATACCTGGTATTCAACGGCAAAGCCAAAAGCACTATCTGACAGCATCTTGTAGTAATGATGTGGGAAAGCCGACACAGGTACTGCCCCAAGGACTCTATAACAGATAAACAGTAGAGAAATTGGATCTTTTTATACCAAAGGTGAAGTAACTCCAAGGAGTTTGGTGGGAATTCTTCAAGATAGGCCAGATTAGGAAATCAATGATATGAAGGTCACTATTTTTATTGTAAAGCTATAGTAACAGAATCTTGCAACTCTGAATGGGCTTCTCTGCATCCACTTTATCTTCATCTGGACTAAGGAGGGGCTTGTGTGAGACAAGTTTTTTTAATGGTCCAGACTTAAGTCCCTGACTACTGTCTTAGTAGCAATTCTCCTGTCCTTCAAGACCTTTCCTTCATTTCCCTATATCTGGCCTACATTGCATCTCTCTATCTTTCCCTCTCTCCCTCCTTCTCTGTGTGTGTCTCTCTCTCCTTCCCTCCCTCTATCCTTCCATCCCTNATGATGCTGTTGCCAAATCTTCCCCATGGCAGCCACAAGATGAGTGGGCTTAAACTGCCAGAACCCCAGTAAGCATAGCTATTGCTGAGGATTCCGGAAGTCCCTAAATTCGAAGGCTAATTGGCCTGATAGATGAGAAAATGTGTTGCTTAGTGTTTGTTTATTTAAAATGTCAATCAATCAGAGTAGAGCCCGAAGGGACCTTCGAGGCCTTCTAGTACAACCCCCTATACCATGATGGTGAACCTATGTCACGCATGCTATAGGTGGCATGGGGAGCCATATTTTCTGGCACACCGGCTGTCAGCTCCGGTGTGCATGCAAACACAGGCCAGCTGATTTTCGGCCTTCCAGAGGGCTGGGGGAGACCGTTTTCACCCTCCCCAGGCTTCAGAAAAGCCTCTGGAGGCTGGGAAGGGTGAAAAACAGGCCAATGGGCCAAATAGAAGTTTGTTCCCAAACTTCCAGTTGACTCGTTGGGGCCATTTTGTGCCCTCCCCGGGCTTTAGGAACGACTACAAAGGCTTGGGAGGGCAAAAAATGGCCCCGATGAGCCAACCGGAAGTTCAGGGATGAACTTCCTGGAAGGAAGTTAGGAAGTTTCTCCTTAATTCCAGGTTGCTTCTCTCCTTGATTAGTTTCCATCCATTGTTTCATGTCCTGTCCTCTGATGCTTGGGAGAATAAGTTGACCCCTTCCTCTTTGTGGCAACCTCTCAAACTCAAGGAGCTGCTGATTCAGTTCTACAGAGGAATTATTGAGTCTGTTATTTGCACCTCTATAACTGTCTTATTTGGTTCTGCAACCCAACAAGACAGACACGGACTTCAGAGGATAATCAGAACTGAAGAAAAAGCAATTACTGCCAACCTGCCTCCCACTGAGGACCTATACGCCGCACAAGTAAAAAAGAGGGCTGTGAAAATATCTACAGAGCCCCTCACATCCTGGACATAAATTGTTTTAACTCCTACCCTCAAAACACCCCTATAGAGCACTGTACACCAAGACAACTAGACACAAGAACAGTTTTTTTCCAAACGTCATCACTCTGCTAAACAAATAATTCCCTCACCACTGTCAAACCATTCAGTAAGGCTGCATTACTATTACTATTAGTCCTCTCATCNGGCGGCATACAAGACAAATACATACAAATACAATACAAATACGCAAGGGATTGCCCTGTCAGCTCCAGTGAGCATGTGCGCGCTGGACAGCTGATTTTGGCCTTTATTTTTGGCCATTTTTTGCCATCCGGAGGCTTTCCTGTTTGCACATTGGGCCGTTTTTCTCCCTCTGAAGCAGTATTTCTCAACTTGGGTGATTTTCAGACATGTGGACTTCAATTCCCAGAATTCCCCAGCCAGTATGGCTGGCTAGGGATGTCTGGGAGTTGAAGTCTACCCGCCTCAAAGTAACCAAGGTTGAGAAACACTGCTCTGGAGGCTTCAGGAGGCTTTCCTGAAGCCTCCAGATGGCAAAAAAAAAGCCCAACACGCAAACTGGAAGTTGGGAAACGGGCCATTTCCAGTCTCCGGAGAGCCTGCAGGGTGCGGAGTGGAGGAGGCCGTTTTCACTCTCCCCAGGCTCCTAGAAAGCCTCTGGAGCCTGGGGAGGGTGAAAAAGGGGTACACTGTGCCATCACGCACCAAAACCGAGGGGGGGCGGGAAGACGCATAGAATTATGGGTGTGGGTACGTGCATGCACAACCTCCCCTCCACTTCTCCCGCTTTTGGCATGTGATGGCAAAAAGGTTAGCCCTGACTATGGTCTTCTCCCATTCAGGCAGGGGTTTGCCTAGTGCTCAAGTGTTTATTGCATGTAGAACATTCCTGATTCAAATCCCAGGCATCAATTTCTCTCTCAAATCTTGCTCTTTTTTGAATGTTACTAGTCGGGCAGGGGGTGGGAGTTGGGGACGAACAATTCAGGGCTGGCAGGCAAAATCAAGGAAGATCTCAGGAGGTAGGTGCAAAGAAATGCCAGTGATACTGAGGAGGAGAGAATTGTATGCATCATATTCCTTGCCCATCCACGGATGGCACATCCTTTGACTGGGCTAAATTGAAATCCAGCTAGCAATCTGGTTGCTTGTGCTCAGGGAACTGACCAAATTTTGAGGCCAAATATTGTGGGCCAACTCTGGCATCAGATTGTCATGGACAAAAATCTATGTACGACTAGTCCTCAATTTACGAGGACAAATGAGCCTCAAAATGTTGTTGCTAGGTGAGACAGGCTGTTAAGTGAATGTTGCCCCATGTTATGACCTTTCTTGCCAGAGTCATTAAGAGGATCACTACTGTTGTTAAGCTAATAACATGGTTGTTAAGTGAATCTGCCTTCCCCAGGGACTTTGCTTGTCAAAAAGTCACAAAAGGTGATTACGTGACCCTGGGGCACTGCAACCGTCATAAATGTGAGTCAGTTGCCAGGCATCTGAATTTTGATGACGTGACTATGGGGTTGCTTTAACGGTTGTAAATATGAAAAACGGTCATAAATCACTTTTGTTGTGTAATTTTGAACGGTCACTAAATGAACTGTTGTAAGTTGGGGACAAGATGTAGTGGGAGTAAAAAAAAATAACTTGATCGCACATAATCAGTACTTCTTTCACAGCGTAATTCTTTCTATAAATCTATTACTCTTTGATAGAGTGGTTTTCCCCCTTCCTCTTCTTTTCTCGGTAAAATGAGAATTAAGTACTTGTGGCTGCTTGCTGGTGAAGGCTAATGCTGTCTCTGGACAGGGAAGAATTTCCAGCTGTGCTGAAGATGGTGAAGGTGTAATTGGTGCTGGGAGTGAGACCGTACAGCACAGCTTGGCCCAAAGACTTGGGGTATGTTTCATTTCCTCTGGCTTCTGAAGTGTTCCACTGGAGTCGGATGGCACTGAATGGAGAGTTCGGGTTCACCCAGGCAAACTGAGCCATGGTTTGATTGATCATCTGGATGCGGAAATTGGTTGGTGGCAGTGGGGCTGAAAGAGAGAGGTAGAGTATTAGACAGCAACCCCAGAAAGCAACCAGCCTGGTTGTGTTTGAAAAGCAGTTTTGCCTAGTGGTTAAAGCACCAGGCTAAAAACCAAGAGAATGTGAGTTCTAGTCCTGTCTTAGTCATCAAGGCTAGCCCAGTGATTTTGGGCCAATCACCAGGACACAGTGAGTTCCAGTCCCACTTTAGGCATGAAAGCTGAGTGGGTGACTTTGGACCAATCACCAGGAGACTGTGAGTTCTAGTCCCGCCTTAGGCATGAAAGCTGTGTGTGTGACTTTGGGCCAATCACCAAAAGACTGTGAATTCTAATCCTGCCTTAGGCATGAAAGCTATGTGTGTGACTTTGGCCAATCACCAGGCGACTGTGAGTTCTAGTTCCGCCTTAGGCATGAAAGCTGGGTGTGTGACTTTGGGCCAATCACCAAAAGACTGTGAATTCTAATCCCGCCTTAGGCATGAAAGCCGTCTGGGTGACTTTGGGCTAGTCACTTTCTCTCAGCCCAGTGTAGCTGACAGGGTTGTTGTGGGGAAAAAGGAGGAGTATAAGTTACGTCCGCCATTTTGAGTTATTTATAAAAATAATAAAGGCAGGATTTAAGACATTCCAAAAATGAAAGAATAAAATAGAATAGAAAAATAAAGAGGGAGAGCTCTCTTTTTAAAGGCGTCTTTGGTTTCCTGCATTCTTTAAGCATGAGAAGACATCATTCCCAACTCCTGGTTCCACGGACAAAGGATGATGGCAGTTGTACCTGATACAACTGGTAGCTACTCGGTAGGAGAAGGCCTGTTGATAGGAAGCTCTTGGAAATCAGAAGCCAAATCAGCACTGAAGGATGGGAAGCCTCCAGGATTCCTTCATTTACTGCACCGACACCTTGCCCGTTTTGTGTAGCGCTTGAGCATCGCAACAACCTTGGGGGCAGAGGGAGGGGGGCAGATAGAGTGAAGGAAAGTATCCAAGATCTCTCAGAAGGATTCACAGCCAAGCAACGATTGAAAATCTAGCCCCCTTCAGGACTGGGATGTCAATCAAAAAAAGGTCCCTGAACCCCTTCACAAAATCGCACTCACGCGTTAGAGTCCACTGCTCTGCGGCTGTGCTCAAAATCCCACTGAAATCTGAGATCACCTTCACCAGGTACAGAACTCCTGGCTTCAAACTGCGAAGAGTGTAATTGGAATCCAGAATGGAGCAGTTGCCCACTTGTGTCCTGTCTTCCCTCCACCAGCTGATTCTGTATAAATAGTCCGTTGCATTCGGGTCTTTGGGTGGCTTCCAGGCCATGGAAAGTTGATGAGGGCTGTAACATTCCACAGTGATATTCTTAGGGCTGTTGGGAGCTGAGAGAAGAACAGTTTTAGTTGGCCTGGTATCCCAACACCAGGAAGCCAAATACCCTCACAACAACCCATAAAAGATTCCGGCTTATCTGAGTCCCTGTTTGAGTTGGCCAAAAGGATTCTGGGAGTTGGAGTCCACACATCTTATAGTTACCAAGGTTGAGAAACTCTGCTCTGGCCTGTTCTTTGAACACAGGCAGAAAAGGTTACGGCAATGAACAGGGTTGCTACCGATATCTCTCATGCTGTGCCAGGGGTCCCCAACCCCCAGTCCGTGGACTGGCACTGCCAGAAACCAGGCCACATAAACAGGGGATGCCCCATACATGGGATGCAGGCAGCATGTGACCAGGGCTCCATTGATCTGCGGAAAAAGCTCTCCACAGAACAGGTCCCTGGTCCTGCAGGGAGGGGGTTTTTTTTTTGTTTTGTTTTTTGCTGTGCTACAGCAATGACCAGGGCCTCAGCATCTGGGTAGGACTCAGCAAACCCTCCTCTAATATTTTGTTTCTGGCCTAGGGCTTTGAGCATCAATTCAGCAGCCATTTTTAAATCCTCCTGTGTTGTTACATAAAGCACCATTGAGAACTTAATTTGGTAGCCAAATCCACTACAGGAGATCCTTGTTTACACAAACACAAATGGGACTGGCTACTCCACCTTTAAGCAAAGCAGTCACTAAGAGGGAAATAATGTGATTGCAATGAGCTCACTTTGTTCATGGTCGTTAAGCCAAAGATCACCTGACTGCGATGGACTTATGATCTCACTTCTGCTGTCATGTGACCATGACTTGTAAGTTTACCACCTGCATCTCACTGACTCTACTTGTTGGAAGTGTGCAAATGGCAACCACAGGATGCTGCGACTGTCATTAAGTTGGAGAACTGGTCATCAAATAACTTTTCCACTGCTGTCACAACTTCAAATGGTCACTAAGCAGGGCAGTCATTAAAAAAGGACTGCCTCTGATGGCCCACAAAGCACTTTGACTTATTTTATGGATCCTAAGCCATCATTTTCTCCACTTTCCCCCTTCCCCACCCGGCACTAAATCCATTCTACCTGTGATGACATTCATGGTCTTCGCGTTGCCATAAACGTTGCTCTTGATAATGGCCCTGACTTCAATTGTGTACATCGTCCCTCCTTTCAACCCTTCCTTAAGAAACAGGCTTTCATTGATAATGGCACAGTCGATCAAGCAGACACAATAAGTGTAGGTGTGGTTTTGAGGGTCTCTGGGTGGCTTCCATCCAATCAGCAGGGAATCCACTGTGCGGTTTTCTATTGTGAGGTTCTGGACTAACGAAGGCCCTGCGATAAACAGAAAACATTTTTCACAGCTTTCTATATTGAGCATCTTAGCCAACACTTGTTGATTCAGCATCATTGCTGAGAACTGCAACAAAATGGTACAAACATGGAATGTTCTGATGTCCAGGATGTAGAAATTGAAATAGTAAATAAAGAAGCAAAGCAAGCTGTTCTATTTCCCTCTACTCTCATTTGTTCCACTTTTATCTTTTCCCAGAATAATTAGCTAAGCATTCCTTGGTACAAAGCTTAAGATTTATTAGGTTATTGGCTACTCCTAATTACGTTTGTTGCTTAAAAAACATTTTGAATTGTTTGAATTGGCTTTCTTTAAAACTTCAGGTTTCCCGTAAAACATCCTCTTCATTGCTCTTGAGGATGATGGTGTCATTTTGCCAACTTAAAGATGAACATTCAGAAAACCAAGCTGGGTACTTTGTTAGAAAACAGTATTGGTTCTCCGTTTGGAACTTTAATCAGAAATTTAATAGGCTTCATTATGCGAATTATTGATTCATCAGTGTGTAGGTACTTGTACACAACTTTGCAAATCACTTGTCCTTATCCTTTCAGCATGTTTGCATGGCTATGTCATTATCCTCACTGATGCTTCTTATCTATTGGCCAATGGGGAGATGTCAAAAATGGCAACCCAACTAACCCTGTCTTCATTCTCAGCTCTTTGCTGGTGGCTTTTAAAACAAAGCATAATTGTGGCCATTGCAAGGGGAAAGTAGCAAAAGTGATTGACAGGTAAATGGACTTGGCTAATGTCAAGATGTCATGACATACCACGGATAGAGGGAGGAAGGGAAATCCCAAATGCTGAGGTGAGACGAGCAGGGAATTCCTGCCACTGACAAACCATCCACTGCACAACTCCAGGTGTTTCCTCTAGAGCAGGGGTCCGCAACCACTGGGCTACTGGACCATGCCCTATTTGGAACTGGTCTACATGAGAGATGGGCCAGTATATGTGCGCAACTCCACATGCAAACAGAACCCCAAAGGCTTACCTTCTCTCTTACATGAATGGAGTTGCGTGCACTTGTGTGCTGGTCCACCACTCTCATGGCCAGGCTCACCTCTCACTCTGACCCCAGCCAGGCTGCCAAGCTGATGCTTCAGATGCTCCAAAAGAAGAGTGGTGAGAGCAGAGGCTGAGTGGGACAAGTGTGTCTTGCTGACCTTTGCTGACTGACCAAGGCTGCCTGCACAGGACACTCGGGCAGCCTTGGTGAGTCTGAGGAGCACCACACCCTGCCCCCAAAAGCTTATCTTCTCCGCATCAAAATCTTTTGCAAACAGATGAAAGGCTTTGAGGGAGTGATCTCGCACTGTTTCAAGCCTTCCGTCCCTCCACAAAAGCTTTTGGTGTGGAGAAGCTTGAAGGAGTGTGAAACTGCATCCCAAAGGCTTCTCTTCTCTCTTATGTGAGTGAAAACGCATGTGCCAACCCACTGTTCATGTCAGGCCCAGTTCCCCTCTCCCCCGCCAACTGGGCCACCCAGGTGCAAAGTTTGGGGACCACTACTCTAGAGCATGTAGGACCGTGATGGCAAACCTATGGCATGGGTGCCGTAGGTGCACACAGATTCTTCTCTGTGGGCACATGAGCCGTTGCCCCATTTCACCACGCATGCACATGTGCCTCCTGCCAGCCAGCTGATGTTTGGGTCTCTGCTGTGCATAAGCAGGGGGTGGGTTCATGCGGGAGATGCGGTGCGCCCCCACTCCCTATTTTTGGTCTCAGGAGGCTGCAAGGAGATCTGCTAGGCCCAAAATGGAGCATGGGGGGTTGCACGTCTATGGACGGTGGGATGAGGGGGAGTTGTGCGAGTATGTGCAAGGAGCAGGGCACGCAGGGGCTGTTGTGTGTGCATTGCATTATGGGTGTTGGCATGCAACAACAAAAAGGTTAGCCGTCACTGATGTAGGAGAAGGACTGGGAGAACCTGAGGGCAGAGTTAAAAGAGAGATCAGCTTAGAATCCCTATGTGGCCATAAGCGAACTTGGTCCAATCTCTCTTGAGTTCCGTTGATTCTTATCTAACTTTAATTAGATATTAATATTAGTTGAGAATATTCCTGAGCAATAGACATAGGTAGCAATAAATCAATTTAATTGGACCTTCATGTCTGATCTTTTGTGCCTGACAGAGGAGGAGCTGAGACTCAGCTTCCCAAGATTCATGCAAGTTCTTCATCAATACAGATAAGCTCAAATCTCAGACTGACCCAGCACTTGAGAATGGAAAGAACCTTAGTTCTACTGTATCAGAAAATAGACATCACCAGGAGCCCTGGTGGTGCAGGTTTAGAATGCAGTATTGCAGGCAAACTCTGCCCACAGCTGGAGTTTGATCCTGACTTTTTTTATAGGTACATTGAAGATGGCATTTAATTTTGTTGTACAAGGTGTAATGACAATAAAGTAAACCAAAGTAAACTGATGGGGCTCAAGGTTGACTTAGTCTTCCATCCTTCTGAGGTTGATAAAAGCCAGAATAAAGATTGTTGGTGGCAATATGCTGACGCTGTAATTCTACCCAGAGTGTGTTATAAAGCACTATGGGGTGATACATAAGTCTAAGTGCTAAATGCTATCTTGTTGTTTCTACTGCTGCGAGCAAATCATGATTGTGAGACTTACTAGTAGTTACGTTGATGGATGCTTCTTGACTACAACTTCCATTCAGGACTCTATACACTGTCATGTTATATTCCTGCCCAGGGGAGAGCTTTGTCATGACAAGGCATGCATTTGTCCAGCTGCTTTTAGAGGTCGTTGTAGAGTGATCTCTGGAGGTTTCATGACAGCAGTTGATTACATACTGCCAGTTAAGAGTTACAGAACAGTTGAGTTCCTCCGGTGAAATCAGACCCTTTGCAGGATTCAGCTCTGTGCAAAAAGGGAAACAAATGAATCAGCAATAAAGAGATGATGTCTTTCTCGTTCCCTAGGTAAACATCTTCAAATTGACCAGCTCTTCCCTCCTGAGTTGGAGCTCTGGGCTCTTCAAGCTGGTGCTCCGGGGAATCAGTGTTTTTGACATGTTCCTTTGCCCCACTTGACTTCCTAAATTTAAAATAGTCATAATAATACAAGAAAATCCCACAATAATATGGCAAAGCAGTAATACTGGTGCATTGGAATATCAGCAAGAAGTACCACTTGCCTGCCAGCAAGAAATGGTGGGACGACAAAATAAACAAAGAGGAAATGAAGGAACTTAAGTGCTCTGGGACTTTAGAATTCAAACAGACAACCATCTGCCACACAACACTCCAGACTTAACAATTGCTGAGAAGAAAGGCAAAACAATCTGGGTAGTACAGTACCTGCAGACAGCAGAATACGAGAGAAAGAACTCAAGAAAATAACAAAATATCAAGACCCACAAATAGACTGATTGCAACAAAAGAACACAAAGTACCTATGGCATGGGTGTCAAACTCAAGGCCCGGGGGCCAGATCTGGCCCACAGGGTGCTTAGATCTGGCCCGCCAGGCCGCTCTGGAAACAGGAAAGGACTGGCCCGTGATGCCTCTGCCAGTAAAAAGGGGAGCTCACAAGGGCCGCCTTTGGAGCTCCGGGGTTGCAGGATGCCATCATAGTTGAAAACGGAGCCTACAAGCCTATTTTTGCTGGCAGAGTGCTCGGGCCACCACAGGCGCCCCCAACACGAGTGATGTTGAGCTGGCCATGCCCCCCCCCTCCCGAGGTCAATTACTACCCTGATGCAGCCCTCAATGAAATCGAGTTTGACATCCCTGACCTATAGTAATAAGCACCTTGGGGCCAAGCCCCAAACATCTGGAGCATGGCTTGGATACCACTGGCATTGACGAAATCACCACTAGTCAATTGCAAGAGGCAGCTTTACTTGGAACAGCTTCCATTTTGTGGTGATACCTTTAATATATCAAACCCCAACGTCTGCCTATTTCAGGTCCTTAGGAAGGGCTCGATAGCTGTACAAAATACCAAATCTAGGCTAAACATCTGGCTGATGGTGCAGCCAACCACAATAATAGATTTTCAACACTACCTTTGTTTTCATTAATTTATCAGGATTGTCCCTGTCCAGGAAAAGATGGGAAGTTGCTTTGCTTGGAAATGTGTCCACCTTCCCAACCACAAACACTGTTTTATTGTTATGTTTGTAATGGCAGCATTTATGGCACAAGCAATAAATCCCCTGGGGCCTTTGAGTGTCTATGATAGGTTCTCAAGAACCAAAAATTGTCCCTTTGAACTGGTACACGTCAGTCTGACGCAGTACAGTATAGGTAGTCCTTGACTTACAACAATAACTGTTTGAAGTTACAATGGCACTGAAAAATGTGATGTATGACCATTTTTTGCACTTCCAACCGTTGCAGCATTCCCGTGGTCAGATGATCAAAATTGAGACCCTCAACAACTGACTTGTTGCAGTGTCCTGGGATCATGTGATCAACTTTTGCGACCTTCTGACAAGCAAAGTCAATGGGGAAGTCAGATCCACTTAACAACTGTTACTAACGTAGCAACTGCAGTGATTCACTTAACAACTGTGGCAAGAAAGGTCATAAAATGGGAGAATAATCAATTAACAAATGTCTCACCTAGCAACCTAAATTTTGGACTCAATTTTGGTCATATGTTGAGGATTACCTGTAGTTGACCAAACAGAGAAAGCTAGGGGAAAAAAAATGGAGTGTCAAGAGGACCAGGAAGAAAAGCTTTGCCAGGTGGCTAATGATGCTGACCTCTGACCCAAGACTCGTCTGTGCTACTAATCAGACGTATGTTGACCTGGGGATTTGGGGAAACTCTTAAGAAAGGGCTTCTCTCTCTCTCATTTGCGATCCTATCTACTTCCATACCAAATTGTCCAAAATGTTAACTCCCAACATTGTCATAGTAAGAGAACTGGGTGGGTGGGTGGAGGGAGTGCATTCCATGCCTACTGTCAGGTGAAGTCAGATCTCAGATTACTGCAGCCAGTTTGGGAGAGGTGCATCTCATAGGGGAATGTGATTTATGACACAGACTGAGGGGAGGGAAGGAACAGGGTAAAGTTCAGCTATAAATCAAACAAAGCTTAAACTTGACTGCGAAAAGATCTTGCCTATAATGCTCCTAGTAAATCACTAGTTTTGTACTGAAACTTGACTCGATACTCAAGAAGCAATTAGGGCATCTTTAGGAAACCTTACACAAAGCTTATTCTCAGAAGCCGACATAGTATTGCAGGTCCTTGTATCTTGGAAATAGAGGAACATGTTCAAGATGGGCTCCATTGCTTATGTAGCATGTAGTTCTCTACGTGTGGCAGCCAGATTTTCTCCGGCAGAGAACACAGATAGGATGGTATGGATTTTTAACCTTACTTGCGCTTGTAGAGGTGGAGCAGTTAGGCAGGAAACCACAAACGTTCGCCTCGAACTCATCCCTTTGACATCCCGAAGGTAGATTTGTAGCATTGAGACAATCTGCATCCCATTCTCTCATCTCCAATCCTCCCTGAATTAACGGGCAGTAGAGGACCACAAATCTGCTTTCAACCTGACCAGGATCTTCGTAGCAATCTATGAGAGCAGAAATGAAAGAGTTAGTCTCACTTAGCTGTAAAAGAAGGAGGCCAAACCATCTTTCTCGTTCATGCTGAAAACAGCCCAGCAATCAAATTTTTGGTCTAACTTCATATAGGACATGACCAAACAGTCTTTGGCCATTGCTCTGAGTACTGTGGCAATCAAGGTAAAATGAATATAGATAGTCTTTGACTTACAACCATTTGCTTAATGATCATTCAAAATTACAGTGCCACTGAAAAAAGTGACTTATGACCAATCTCTACACTTATGACTATGAGCAGCATCCTCTTAGCCACATAATCAAAATTCAGGTGCTTGGTAACTGTCATGTATTTATACAATGGTTACAATATCCTGAGGTCACATTTATGATGTTCCCTGCCTGCTTCCAACCAGTGAAGTCAAGGGGAAGTGGGGGAGAGAACTGGATTTACTTAATAACCCATCATGCCATTTACTTAACAACCATGCCCAAAAGGCCATTAAATTAGGCATGATTCACAACTGCCTTGTTTAGAAGTGGAAATTCTCATCCCAGTTGGGGTTATGAGTTGAGGGCTACCTGTAGATACAAGAAAATGTCCTCACGGATCAATTGGAGGCCTATGATACAGTCCAGAGACAAAATAGTAGATCAGGGACTAGATTAGGCAGACAACAAGTAGATCTGTGTTTGACTGTTCTGGCAAATTGTTAGGCTAAAGTCACAACTTGAATACCAAATAAATGATACTATCTAAGCCTGTGTTGATTCCTCCAATGCATTGTTGCAGTTAGATTTGAAAAATTATAGTGCCTTCTTTGTTTATCCTGTTGGATAGACCCATCTTAAGTTTTAAGTGTCTTCCAGGAATTGCTGGAAAAGTCCAGATGGATTAGTTGTGATTTTCTTGCATGTTATTCCTTGCCTTCTCTGTAATAATGGAGAACATATGATCTTGTGGGTGCTACTGAACTGCAGCTCCCAGCAAATCTACCAACATGGACAACCATGATGAAGGCTGAGAATTGTAGTTTAATAACATCTAAAAAGTCTATCAGCAACATAACATGTGGAGAAGGACAATGAAGAAACAACCCAGAGAGGTCCCCCCCCCCAGAGTGCAACTACAACTCAGAGCAGGTGCTACTCAATCAACCAAATCAATAGTCAGATCCGGTCAAATATCCTGTGTCTTTCAAATGTCCTTTTGAGGACCATGTTTGATCTGGAAGGAAAATGTACACATTCATCTATTGTCAGCTGCCACTTTACATTTGCTTGTGCTTTACTACCATGCGGTGACAGTCTGCCATGAACTCTGTGGAGGGTGGATGGAAGAAGGAATGCTTGGGGGAAAATGAAAGTAACTTCTGTATCTCCCTGAGACACTGCCTCAAGGTCACCCGTCTAGGAGAAGAAGGCAGCTGCATACTAACCTATGCTTGAACTGACCATTCTGAAAACATCTTGCTTGAACCTGATTGGTCATGACTCACCCATTCCACCCCCCAAGGATAAGCAATGGGAGGCAGTTAAGGGAGATAAAAATTGAACTTAGGGATTTTGGCATGTGAGTCTCAGTTCTGGTTATGCATTCTGTAACCTTTCTCAGCAAATGAAGCAAAGGATTGTTTCTAAATAGCAGTTTAAGTTGGGGCAGTTCTGACATCTAGATTTTTTTTAGTGGGAGACACAACAGCTTCAGGATATGTGGGTCAACAGTTATCGAAGGAACAATGGTTCAGAGGCAAAGCTTATACCTTGCATATATGGAAAGCCCAATATTCAATTCCTGGGATCTCTCTGAAATCCTGAAGACCAGCTCAAATGCAGAGGATCCTTCCCTAACCAGTACTCTTCAGAATACCAGATTTTCTAACAAGTAACAGAAATGGATTCCAGGATCTGCAAGATTAAATATCTGGGGGGCACTAAATTGTGGTAGACAGTGCTGAACTACATAGATCCATGGTCTAACTTGATATAGGACAAGATCAATCTTTCCCATAGAAAGTGGAAGCATTGCTACAGGTCCAATCTCCAACATTTTCCCATAATTGTTAATAACATGAATAGAATAGAATAACAGAGTTGAAAGGGAACTTGGAGGTCTTCTAGTCTAACCCCCTGCTTAAGCAGGAAACCCTACACCACTTCAGAAAAATCTCTGTCCAAGCTCTTCTTAAAAACCTCCAGGGTTAGAACAGCCACAACTTCTGAAGGCAAGTTGTTCCACTAATTAATTGTTCTAACTGTCAGGAAATTTCTCCTTAGTTCAAAATTGCTCCTCTCCTTGATTAGTTTCCACCCATTGCTTCTAGTCCTGCCTTCAAGTGCTTTGGAAAATAGCTTGACCCCCTCTTTTTTGTGGCATCAAATATTGGATCACTGCTATCATGTAATTCCTTCTTCTTCTTTTCATTAGACTAGACATACCCAATTCCTGCAACCATTCTTCGTATGTGTTAGCCTCCAGTCCCCTAATCATCTTTGTTGCTCTTCTCTGCACTCTATCTAGACTTTCCACATTTTCTTTTACATTTCCTGTGTTAAATTGCACATCCTGTTCAACCTTTATTTGGAAAGACTCCTAAACTTCTAAGGGCCTTCATTCACTTACCAGTACTTTTCAAGGATGGCTGATGCGCTGGGATTTGTTTATTTTGTCCTTCTGAGAGAGGAGGGGAAAAAACACAGAGAGAAAGAGTTGAACTGTTCTGTATGCAGAATCTCTTTGAAGCTTTGCAGTGTACATCAAACAAAAGGATTAAACAAAAGACTTCTTAGTTCACACCAACACAAAGGGTTTTGATTGACCTTGCAGGATCAAACTGAAAAGACCAAAAACCTGGATGAAAGAGGCAACCTATGTCTCTTCTCTGTTCCCAGAAAGAAGTATTCATTAAACTGCTGCCCTTAATCTTCAGCGTTTTGTTAAATTTCACCGTTAAAACCCCTCCAGATCAAAGCCTTCAGAAGTCCATCTCATCAATCCTTGTTTTGCAAAAATCTATTTTTTATCCCAATTGAATTTTGGGTTCTGTTCAGTGGTATGATTTTATTCATGTATTATTGTGACGTCTGCATTGCTTCAGAGTAAATGAGTCTAAGAAGCTTAGAATCAAAATATAATCTCAAAAGTAGAAGTGGCCATCAGGAACTTTGAACAGCACCAGCCCACCCCAAAATAATTGTGGGGTGTTTCTGGTAGCACTGACAGCCAATGGGTCCTTCCCTCTTTCTTTCATTATTTTTCCCCCACAGGGATTGAAGGAGGGAAAAATAGATATCTCATACTTGATTGTCAAAAATCCAAGTGACCACTGTAGGTCTTGTAATTGTTTTCTGGGTATTTTCAGGTCAGATATGATATTAGATCAGATTAGATTTTTATCATGCTTCAATTACTTTATAAGGAACTGGCTGATAACCCTGCGTTGCTTGAGTATTTATTTATCTCAATCTTGTATTAGACAGGAAAAGGAATGAATTATAAGTGGCAATGTCACTTATGCGGAATGGGTTGTCCTTCCCCCTTCCATTAACGTCGCCGCAATTCCTGAAGAGGTGGTGGCAAGAGCAACTTCTCTCTGAGCCCTGATTTTGACGACAATTAAATTAGTTTAAAATGTTTTCCCTCTGCCCCCAGAAGCGTCAAGAAAAATGATACCACCATGCTGAAAATGTCTGGACCAAACATAATTTCTAATGTTGGATTTTGAGTTGAGTTGACTTTATTTGATTTCTATGCCACCCAATCCCGAAGGACTCCGGGCGGCTTACAGAATAAAAAGAAATTAAAAAGAAAAAGACTGAAAAACAATAGGACACACGAAGTTAAAAAGAAAGACAACAAAAACCCAATCAGAAGGCCTGCCGGAAAAGCCAGGTTTTAATGGCTTTGCGAAAGGCCATGAGAGTGGGG